AATATGCATAAACAAATAACATATATATAAACAAATAGCATAATTTGTTATTTGTTATCGTTTATATAGGGATGGTTAGGTAACAAACCTACCTTTACAACGTTTAAAAAAACTAGTTTTATATTAAAAAACGATTTATATATTGTGTCTTCCCAAATTCTAATATACTATAGGGGAAAGCGGGGCAACATGGCGAACGTTTTGAAAGCCCTGAGTTATTACAAAACTATCAGTCGTGAAGCAATAATACTTTCTCAGTATGTTTATGTTATTAAAATCCTTCATTGCCTGCATGAATTTTCAGTAAAAAGTTCATAAATTTGTGATCTGATCACGTGACCGGGGCAAGATGACTTATTATGCTATTTTTACTTCCAATTAAAAAAAAAAATTTAAAAACTACCAATATCTCTAAATAAAGTAACAAAAAATAAACACAAATTGCAAAAAACTACTTCTAAAGAAGTTAAACTTGAAGGACACCAACCATCATGAGAAACCGAAAGTGAGGAATTTTTTTTTAAGCGCAAAAAAAATACTTATGCGTATAAAATTGCGTTAATAATATTTCAAAAAACCAATTGGTGTTTTAAAATACAAGATGCAAATACAGTTTCGTTTTCACCCAATTTTAAGAATTTTTGTTAAGTTGTTATATGAAAACCCATCTTGCCCCATTCGCCATCTTGCCTACTTAAAATTTTTAAGTACAATGAACTGCAATTATTTTTAATTTTTTTGGTTTAATGGCTTTTGCTAAGAGCTTTTAAATTTTGCGTAAAGTTATCTTATTTTAACATATTTGTTGTATCATCCATACTTCAGTCGATTTTCAAAACGCCTTAAGGTAAAAAATATCAATTTTGACTTTTTTACAAAATAACCTAGTTTAGACGGCTACAAACGTTATTGAATACGTATTTTTAAAGAAGTCTGAAAAATTCATAAAAATTATTCGTTTCAAAAAACGTTTTACAAAGAGTTTTGCCTAATAATTTTTTTTTTAATTGCGTTTTTCTCGAAATACGCAATAAGCATATTAAGACGTTTTGAAAAAGGGTTGCAGCATATATTTAAAGTAAAAAAATAAATGTAGCAAAAAAATTTTTAACTGTCATAAAAAAGTTTTTAAAGTTTTTTCTAGCCACGAACTTTTCTTCTTTTTTTACCTCCACAGCAGCACCTTCAAGAGTAGCAGGACTGTCTTCTCATTAAGTTTTTTCTTTATTAAGTTATAGACAGTTTCTTTATAGACCATCCACAGCTTATTAGGACTTATTACCTGAGCACATTAATAACATAGTATCTCAATCATGACACATAAGCAACTAATAGTTTCGCCCGATGTTTTGATGTTTTTAGAATTTTTAGCTTTTTTAAAAGTATTTTCGTTTGTTAAAGTGTACGTTTACGTACGTTAGATACGTAAACGTACACTTTAAAACGTACGTTAGATACGTAAACGTAACAAAAAGTGCTGATACTCTTTCTCGCCACTTCCTCAAGTGCAATGGCTACCAAGGGTACAGTGTCAAACACGCTCGAAGGAACACTTATAACACTATTAATATTAAATTCAGCAATAATATATAGAGATTATTATGTAAGCCTATCATTTTCACTGTATTTCTAAGTTAGCGTTGGTGTATGTATTAAAATATCTTACCTCATCACATTATTAAACTTATCTTGTCGTTAATATGTCTGTGTCGGATATTTTTTTTTATCCTTAAAATGTTTTGAATTTAGGTTATTCTGAAAAAAAAAATTATTTTTGTTTGACAAAAAAGTTCAAGTTGGAAAAGAATGTTATTTTCGTTTTTTTAACCTAACTTACTTACAACAAGGCTGCAAGCAATCAATGTTAAGTTAAGAGTTACTGGAAAACGAAAAGTATTGTTAAAGAATAAGGAATCAGTTGATAAAAGGCTTAAAAAGTTGAAGGTTGTGTGAGTTAGGAGAACATAAAGATGGGAGATAAGGTGTAAGGAAAAAACTGGATTAATGTTTTTAAAGCATTAAAAGAGAGTACAATAAATAGATGCAGCTTTGCTGAATAACAAGTTAAGTGAAATTGAGTTTTGGTTTATAAACTAAAGATGATAATCTCGTTTGTAAATGAGCGAGAGAGATGCAACCTTACGACGATAGTTTGGAGATAAAGAAAGACAGCAAAAGAGCATCATAAGAAGAACCAGCCCAAATATAACAATAGTATATCATACAGGGACAAATAAGAAATTCGTATTAACTGCAATTTATAACTTAATAAAAAAAAAAAAAACATTAAAAATAATTTTTTTAAATGTTTTTGTTTTTCTTAGCTTGGAGTTTTTAAAAAACTAGTGTAAATAACAATATTGCACATTTTGTTCAAAAATTTTTTAAATTAATACAAAAAAAAAAGTAAAAAAAAACTTTGTTTGAAGGTTTATTTAAAATGTGTATTTAAAATATACAGTTTACAATGAAATATACGACTTTCAGTATTTTTAGCGTCCAAAATAATTTTATTAGCATATTTTATATATTTAGGTTTTACTTTTTTCGCTCCTACTTTTAAATTACTTGTATTATTAAAAAATACCCTTATTTTATTTAAACATAAACAAAAAAACAAGTTTTGATTCCCGTACCTTGAAGGTACCAGTCACAAGTTAAAAATTAATCAAGAAGTTTGATTTTTAAGTTGTGAGGTAGAAGTTTGTAATTATCATATTTCTAGAAATATTTAACAAAATAATAAAAAATGTAAATAAAAAATAAAAAGCTATTTCTTATATCTTAAATATTTATATCCTATTGTTTTATATTATATGTGATTATGATTACGTCACATTATATTATATAATGTATTATTACATAATACAGCTCCAGCTTTGTGGGCGTCCACTCGCTGGAAAAACTGCAAAAAGGTTGTTTTTGAAAAACATGTTGGAAAAACTAGAAAATGTATTTTTTGAGCATTATTGATTTAACAATGCACAAAAAAATTATTTTCCAGTTTTTCCAGCATGTTTTCCAAAACACAATCCTTTCTAGTTTTTCCAGTTTTTCCAGCGAGTGGGTACTCTGTAAACTATAACTAAAATTTAAATTCATATTTACATTAACATCACTATTAAAAGTATACAAGTTGATAAAATAAGGTGCACGATTTTTGCGTTGTATATTAGCAACATATTCATTATTCGTACATTACTACAACTTGTGCATAACTTTTTAAATTTAACTAAACTTTGATTGATAAAAGAAATCTTAATTATTTCTTTAACTAAATGTTTGATTTAATTTTTTAACTAAGTCTTTAAAGGTTTTTTAAAAAAAAGCTAGTTAAAAAAGCGGTTGTACCTCCAAATTAAAACAGATAAATAACAATAAAATTCTCGAGGCATTTCTTGCGATTTTGTCGGTATATACAAATAATTAAAAGATTACAATATATATTAACATGCAACGCAAGTTTCTTAAGAGGTAGATTAAACGATAAAAGAAGATTTAAGGGTAAACAATATACGTAACAATTTAATTTTTTTTGAAAAACTTTTGCAACAAAAAAAAAAAAAAGTCAATAAGGTTTCACTTAAATTAAATTTTTAACCTCTTAGTCATTTAATAAATTAATTGACTAAAATTTATGACAAATAAAATAAATTTAATGACAAAAAAAAAAAAAAAAAAGAATTAAATGACAAATAAAATAAATTAAATGACAAATAAAATAAATTAAATGAAAAATAATTTAAATTTATTGACAAATAAAATATATTTAATGAGAAATAAAATAAATTTAATAACTAATGAAATAAACTAAATGGTATATGAAATATGATACACTATATAGGCATTACCATTATTTATTATATATTAATAGAAAATGACTATTAAATTAAATGGCTAAAAGGTATATCATAATTTAACTAAACAAATCTAAATTATTCAAAAAATATATTGTAAGATCAAAACTAATTTATTCCCATTTCAACTGTTTGATTTTTAAGATAATGTGATTTAAAAAATGAAAAACTTTAGGAAACAGAATATATAATATGATTTCAAAGTTTACCAATGTTTATTTTGGCAACTTTTTCTCATACAACTTAAATTTTTTTATAAAGTGGAGATGAAAGAAATGTTTCCAACCACGCGGAACAACTTATTTTGTAGCACGTTTGACATTTTTAAAAAAGTTGTATCAAAAAATCCTGTGTAGGAGGCATAAATCAAAGTATAAGACAAATATATCAGTTTCACAACAGTTTTTATCTAAAAGAACCAAACATAATTTTTTGTAAAGTTTTTGAAAAACCGAAACCATATATAATTTAAATTTTTTTTTGTTTCATGTTGTTTTGTTTCAAGTGAACTTTAAGGATCTTTCCACAAATTAGATAAAAAAAAAAAAACATTTTTGCAGCTATTAATTCTTGTATGTTGCATTACTGAGTAGTGATTTGTTCTGGTCTTTTTATAAATGAACTTAGAATCAAAACATAACAAAAGAAAAATAAAGGAAAAAATACTTCAACGTCTGATTAGAAAGCAAACTAATAAAACTTTTATGTCCATTCTTTTTTTGCAGTCCAGACTACCCATATTTTTATTAATATTAAACAACAAGATGCATTAAAAGAAAAAAGAAATAATGTAGTAGAGACGTATCTTTCAGGTACAAACTTTGCACTCCAAAAATCCCACCCATTGTATTAGATCCTGTTGTTTTTAATTTTAATGATTGCTACAATTGATAAGCTTTTTTTTGAACAAAAAAAATGATAACTGACTTTGTCTTGAGAATGTTGTTTTATTGAATTCAAATGCGTTTAAATTATAACTTAATAAGCTTGTTGAATAAGTAGATTAACTGTCCATTAACAATTACAAGTTAACATATTTTAACAAAACTTTTTTTGACGTTAAAATTCCTTTGTAATTTTAAATTCTCTGATCATCATTCTCTATTATGATGGGATTAAAATTATGCGTGGTATGACGTATATATTGGAAGGTGTTGGAGTAGTTTCAAATTTTAATATTTAACAAATAATTTCTCAGATATTTCTAAAGTTATTTGAAATATAAAACAAGTTGCACATGCTCATTTTAAGATAAAGCAAAAAGAAGCTTTTGCGTAATATTGTTAAGCTTAACCATAGTAGACTTCTATCCAGCAATTTTTTAAGCTTAACTATAGTTTTATCCAGACATTTATCCAGCAACTTTTTCAATCAGGTATGTTTTCGAAACCAGATGAGGAAACTGTAAAAAAATGTAAGTGTTTTTATTATTCTTTTGCAAAATGCTTTCTATTTTGCATGTCTTTTAATTTTGTTTGAAATTATTTTAATAAGTATAGCTTTCTGTTTTTCACCATAATTCTTTACATAGCAAGTGCTAGGTATATAATTCAGTCGAAGAAGTAAAAATGGTGAGTGCAATGATCTAACATCAAAATTTCTAAACTTTAAATAACTAGTATAGGTTTTGGAGTACAAGTCTGCATCCTAATGATACCTATTCACTTTATTTACCCTAGTTTCTTCATCCCAAAGTAAGTACCCTTTAACATTTTAGGTACAATTTAGTATAGATAAAAAGAAAATGAATGACGACAATAAGTCACAACTTGATATCAAACCTTTGTATGAATGTGTTTAAATGTTTGTATCTGTCTATGCATACGTACATATGTGTATATATTTATACGTACACATAAGATATATACTTGCCCAACAAATAAAATTGAATGTATGCATAAAGAGAAATTATGTACATATACAACCGCAATTAAACCAACCTTCTTTACAGCCTGCACTTTTCATGTTTAAAAACGTAAAATTTTGTTTTTTAATTTTGAAAAAAATTGATTTGGTAACCAAATTTAAAATTTTTTTCAAATTTGATTACAAAAAAATATTTTTTTCAAAGTTAAATTTTAAAAAGTTTTTAAAATTCAATTTCTACTTAATTTTATTTTGATTTTTTTGTTATAAACGCTAATGTTTGTACGCTCAACAAATTTAGTTAAATAAAATTTCCATTTTAAACCTATTCAATCCCAAGTGATTTTGGTGCTAATGTTACGTCACGCTTCGTTTAGTCAAATAGTGGCTCATCACAGTAACTTTTACTCTCTACCACCTTCATTAATAACAACCTTTTTTTTTAATTATACCTAGCTCCAAGATGTTTGGTTCATTTATGGGAGTTTTTACTTGAAATGTTAATGGATGATTCGTTTACATCGATAATTGAATGGACAGACGAAACAAATGGCGAATTCAAAATAAAAAACTGCGAAGTTGTAGCAAAGAAATGGGGCAAACGAAAACAGAAATATGACATGAATTACGACAAATTAAGCAGATCGTTGCGATATTATTATAAAAAAGATATAATTCAAAAGGTACTGATTACACTTTTTTATCAAATATTTTAATTAATCTTTAGCGGCTAATTGAACATTTTTAAAGTGATGTCACATATAAGTAAATAATATATGTATATTTGTATAAAAAAAAATAATATATATACTTAGTCTATTTTTATCAACAAAACAAAAAAAAACCGTGTTGTTATTTAATGTATACTTTTATCTTTTATTTTAAAAAAGGTTTTTGAAAGCTATTAAATAGTTGCGAGAGGCTAACCAATCGTCTAGCGATATAAAGTCGGATTAAAAACTTTCGATTTTACATCCGGTTAAAAAATATCTTTAATATTCTTTTCGTTTTTTTGATTAGATACGTCATGCCACCCATAGTGATTTTTAATTACTATTATTTGACTTACAAAGTTAATGGAAACTAATTTTCTAAAAGCAATTCAAATAGTCTGAAAAATGTCTGAAGTTATATATATATATATATATATATATATATATATATATATATATATATATATATATATATATATATATATATATATATATATATATATATATATATATATATATATATATATATATATATATATATATATATATATATATATATATATATATATATATATATATATATATATATATATATATATATATATATATATATACGTTTAGGGGAAAGGGTGGGGTTAAAAATTAATTTTTGTTTTTAGTTTTTGTATTTAAACAACTTTTTCATAAATAATTTTTTATGTTGATTTTGAATTACATAAATTTTTTTTCATTATAAATATTTGGCCTTCTACTTCAATTTTAATAAAAGTGATTATTTTGACAAAACAAACAACTGTTAAATGAAATGAAATCGTTATTATCCTCAAAGTAGTATCCGTGGTAAATAAATTTCTTTTCGTTTTATCAATAAAATACGGAATCAGTTTGTGTTGTTATAAATACAACAAAAAAACAGGCATTATATATAAAATTAATCCATATAAGAAAGTAACAATATTTGTAACAATAACTAACTGAAGTGCGAAATAACTTTGTTGCAACCGTGGTACATTGGTTTAAGTTCTTTCTCAGAATCAAGAGGTCGATGTTGGCTTTGACTAGATAAACGATATTGGTAGGAAAGGAGGTGTAAACTTCCTAGTTAAATTGCTCTTGCTTTGTGATAAAACACTTAATTCTTCTTGGAGTAGATTAACAACTAAAACAAAGTCATCGTAGTTGATTGTGGATTGTTGTGAGGAAGTTAAGTAAAAATTTTAAATTATTAGCGTATACTTCTTTAGACACAGGCAGCGTTTTTTTGTACTTTTTTTTTAACAACTATGATTTTAAATAAAGTGGATCATTGCTGGGAATGATCCACTATTTTTTGATTATTTTTAAAATAAATGCCCCATTTATCAATCGTTTCTGACATTTAACAGATCTTTCTCTTTTTCAACATATATATTGACATCTACAAGTAAATGGGCAGCCTTGTAATTTTAAACAAGCTAAAGTATTATATATCTTAGACGTCTAATGTAAAGCTTACTGTTGTTTTTTCGCTAACATGCTCTGTCTCAGTTGTTTCTGTCACTGGGTCCAACTGTTATTTATATTTTTAAATTTTTTAACAATGAGATAGATGTTTCTAAATTGCCGAAATCTTGATTTCACAATGGTTTGGAATGTATTTTTGTAATTGACGGTATTTCCTATGCCGATTGCAGTGAGTGCCACACTGACGCCTAAGTTTAATGTTATTTGAAATTGTTTTATAAATTGCAATAACCTGATTAAAAACCTATAACATCAATATTCCATCATTGCATCTTATTCCAAAATCATATCTTTTTTGATTTCTGTAAAAAATATTTAGTGGAAATATGCTAAACTATTTTCAAAGATGATACAGTTATCCTAGTTTTTACAAACATATACGAACTGCTTCTACGACTACTGAGTAGTAAATCTTATTTAATAAAAATTTCTAACAGATAATTTATTATTGACTTTACTATGTTAAGTACAAAACAACCTTGAGTAAACGCAGTTTTGTATTGTATAATTCGTCAACTACTGGGAAATTTCTAAAGAGGTTTATTAAATATGATTTATTTGTTTACGAGTTTATGATTTACTTATTAATTTGTTACTTTTTGTTAAATTGAAAAATATTGCATTTTTCATTTTAATTAGTATCTAAATTTGATTAACAAAATTAATAGTAAAGTATTTACTAACAGAGTAAATCAAACTAACTTTATCTCTAGAAAAGACTTATTTTTGTTTAAACGCAACTTTTATTCAATTTAACTCAACGTTATTCAATGAAAATTAAAATTGCATAAACTTTAACATAAACTTGGGTAACTTTACAGGCAAAGAATACGCTGCAAAGATTTCTAGTATTTAAGATTTTTAATTTTTTTTTTAGTAAAAGTAGAATCTCAGCCTCAAAACAATTGTAAAAAATGAATTATTCATAGAACTTTTTTGAAAAAAGTCATTACAAATAATTGGTTAAACGAAAAGTACAGATTTTCGGATCCTTCTTCCCTTCTTTCTTCCCTTCTATATAAGTATAGAGAACTTAAGTTTTTTTTAGTAGGAAAAATTTTATTTTTAATAATATTAATTTTTTTTTTTTTTTTTTTACGCAATAAAAATAATTATTTACTCAATGTGCGATGACTCCTTTATTTATGATTAGGGTAGAGGTGGGCACCATAAAACATGGGGAACCATGAAACATTATATTTGTGGAGGCATATTAAGTTGCGACAATCTCTTTCATATAGTTTGGTTTATTCATGGTTAAAAAAATATATAAATTACTGACAGGCCTCTCTGTTATGAAAATACTGTTTTTCAAATCAGCCAAAGTGAAGATGCCGGAGCAGAGAAAGTTCGTGTTTCAACTTGTTTACGTTTTTTGCGTCCACCTCATTTTGGGTTAAAAAATACCATAATTTTACAACACGGTTAGTAAAGAAGTTGTTTCTTTCAACGCAGTTTCAAGCAAATGCAGTTTTCTAGCTGAAGCAGTTGGCCGTCCAGTTATTTATTGTATAAATTGCAGTTGATTTTTTGTTATTGCTACGCCCAGTGTGCATGACTTTGCACTTGTCGACATTAAAAGACATGAGCCACGTGTGTAACCACTTCACTGCTTTGTTGATGTCGTCTTGGAGTTTTATGGTGTTATGGTTTGATTCTATAATTCCAATTATTTTCTAGTCATCTGCATACATTTTATAGTGGTGTTGTACTTTATCTGGCAAATTGTTAATGTAGATAAGGAACAGGAGTGATCCAAGAAAAATTCCTTATGGCACACCGCTACAGACTGTTCTCCAATTGGATTTATTGTTACTAATAGTTACCCGTTGAAGGCTATTAGTTAGCCAGGTCTTGATCCAATCGTGCAATTTTTCGGACACTCGTATAAGATTTTAGCTTATGCAGCAAACAATGGTGCAGAACTTTGTCAAGTGCTTTCGCAAAGTCTGTGAATATGGTATTGGCTAGGTAACCTCTGCGGGCAGCTTCAGTCAGGATTTTGCAAGAGTCAAGAGGTTCGTGACGCAACCTTTTCCCTTTCGGAAACCGTGTTGCGCAGAGCTGATGAATTTATTTTTGTTTAAGTGGTCAGTATTGTGTTTGTGTAAAAAGCTTTCCATTACCTTGCAAGGGACAGAAGTGCGTGAGATAGGTTGATAGTTTGAGGGGTTCGATTTGCACCCTTTATTGAAGATAGGAGTAATTTTGGCTTTTTTTATATTTATTATTTGACACGGTACTTTGCCTGCTTTAAGCAATTTAGAGAATATAATTCTTTGTGGGAGAGCAAAGCCTGCAGCACAGTATTTCAGGACTTGTGGGTGAATGCCGTTAAAGCCCATTAATTTGGTTTTGTTCAGGTCCGTAATAAATTTTTTACGGATTAATATGATGCGATAATATATGTGGTTGGTTGGTTTATGCTAGTGGAACTAGGGTTGAATGTTGGTATAGACCCTAGCAGCTTCATTTCAAAAACTCATTGGAATTGTTCGTTTAGTCTGTTGCAGATTACTTTAGGATCTGTTGTAGTTTGGTTATTAGTTGTTTCAAGTTGACAGATGCGGTTGTGGGTTTCTTGTTTGCTTTTGACGTACAATTTTTACTGTTTTGCTTGGTTTTTTATGCTGTTCGCGTAGAGTTGGCTCGTTTACTCGGCTGGCTGCGATAAATTTGCCCCAGAGTTCGTTTTACAATTTGACAGCATTTGTAACATCTTTGATCACCCATGTTTTGTGCTTGTTAGTGTAACGAGAATTCATTGACAGGACGTGTAATGAGGTTGCTATGTTGAATTTGTCGAAAATACTTGATATTTTTGAGAAACTTTCAAACCATCAAAAGCCTAATGACAGTCGAATGATTCGATATGCGTAGAGATTGAGTTGTAGTTGACTCTGCTCCAGATCAGACGTTTCTTGTAGAGTTTAGAGGAATTAGTTATTTCAAGTTCTTTAGTTATTAGATCGGTGAGAGCTATACTTTCCTCAATAGACAGTGTGACTGACCTTTGGCTGTTTGGTCGAGAGGACTAGTTTCTCTATGTCGATTAATCGGTCTAGTTTGTTGGTCAGGATCAAGTCAAGATTTTTTGGAGTTTCCTCACAAGTACTGCGCTACGTTAAAAAAGTTAAAAGCTGAGTAAAATAATTTTTTTCTGGGTCAAATGATTATCTACGTTTTGAACGTATGTTGCATACGTTCAAAGCGCATGTTCAAGTCGCGATGCCACCTCCTACGTCGACATTTGAATACACAATGTTGCTGACGTTAAAGTTGCCGTACGCAAGTACGGTTGAGCAGCCAATTGAGTTACATTTGTCAGAG